AACCCTTTTTTTATTATATTTTAGGTACGTTTATTTTTATTGGAGCAACAAATCGTTGGAGCCATGTTTTATTTGACTGCGTCGTAACGGGTTAAAAATCCGTGGAACAAGACCGGGAAAGAGTGCTTCCCAGGAGGATGATAGGAGCACGATTCCACGAGTTTACTAGCACGGGGACTGTGTTCACTGACATTAACGCGTCCCTGTGACACATGGCCGGAGCTACCGGTCCGAGGTAATGAATTTCCCCTCGGCTACGCAGAAAACGTGTCGATAAATCCGACACTAACGACTTATCTGGCCGTGTCATGCGAAGCCAGTCGGGTGATAGCCAAATGAGGTCAGGAATATGGCGTTCCGTCAATCGCAGAACGTGAAATTTATCGATGTTTGCTATCCCGGCTCACAGAAAATGCGAACCACCCGCCACCGCGCCCGCGCCACCGGTAAACGTCCCTTTCTAAAACGTCATCGATGCGTTTCGTCGGTCGATCGTCAGCAAATCCACGATTCCAGCAAAATTCAATAGAAATTCAAATGATAATGATCCACAGGTGTACTGCGATTTGCGTGCATTTCAGAAATACGTAAAGCCAGAATGTATCGAGGCATCAGTCAGTAGAATTCTTGGAAAAAAGTGGATCAAGTAGGAATTTTGGATTCCTTAGAACTTTGGATTTCTTGGAATTCTGGATTCCTTGGAATTTTGGATTCCTTGGAATTTCTTAGAATTTTGGACTTCTTGGAATTTTGGATTCCTTAGAATTTTGGATTTCTTGGAATTCTGGATTCCTTGGAATTTTGGATTCCTTGGAATTTTGGATTCCTTGGAATTTCTTAGAATTTTGGACTTCTTGGAATTCTGGATTCCTTAGAATTTTGGATTTCTTGGAATTCTGGATTCCTTGGAATTTTGCATTCCTTAGAACTTTGGATTCCTTGGAATTTGGGACTTCTTGGAATTTTGAATTCCTTGGAATTTTTGATTCCTTGGAAAAAAGTGGATCGAGTAGGAATTTTAAAATTCCTGGTAATTATTAATTAAATCCTATAAAAACAAAAAAAATACAAAAATAAAAGAGAAAGAAGGAGAAAATTATTTTTAGAGCACAGAAAATTAGGTTGTTTGTCCTAGTAGTATAAAACAGTAATTTGAACAGACTTCTGTAGCCGAGTGTACAGTTTCGCAGGCACGTGGATACGCGTGGCCTCGATAGGAGGAGGTGGAGGAGAACGAGGTGGAGTGTAATCGCATATTTATCCAGAGTGGCGCTTAGCCAATGCAGGCGTGTAACCCTGGACACCTCCTGATTGGCAAACATGCATATTTTATCCAGCAACTCGCAATCGGGATAACTTGTTGTTCGTATCAATTATTCTCGAAAACTCGACGCCGGTGCCTCTAATGGGGAGCGGAGTTTTAATTGAAACGTAATCCCAATTAAAATGAGTTCCGCGATACTCCCGGTGCTCTCGCGGAGTACGCGTAATCGCGTTAACGAAATGAAATGTCCATTCGAGCGAAGGATATCGACGCCCTTCCCCCTTCACCTCTGCCCAGGGAAATTGATACCGTTTCTTCATTCGTTTAAAAAAAAAAAACAATAAAAACACTATAACCTAACGTTACACCCCTGGTACTGGC